TACGGGCCTGTGTGTGAAGAAGTTTCAACGGTTTTACAATGACATCTTGGCATGGGGTCTCAATATTTTTCCTAGGAATTCTTAAAGAAAAACAGAGTCCTGAAAGTCTTGTTGGGAACTGGAACTTTATCGGAACTGGTTTAAGTAAAATCTAATTAACAACATTATGTATTAACGTGAGTTGCTTGCATTGGGCTTTGAAGTCTTGCTAGTACAGTAATCACTGCTGTTATTGGATGTAGCCAGCATCAACAGTTGGCCAGTAAAAAACGTTTCAGCTAGTAACATCTTAGTTGTCACTAGCCACTAGGCTAATAAGTTGAAAATTTAATGTCGAGTCCTGACAGGCTACAGTACCTTCACTTCTAAAGTGATTGCTTGTGAAATACTTACATGTATGTACATGTACTGTATGTGTAAGAATTATTAATAATTTTATTTCTTTTACTACCGGTAGGTTTGAAGGTTGAGATCACACACTGTGGTACTACGAAGAGAAAGTATCGGGTAATCAATGTCACAAAACTACCAGCACAAACTCTGAAGTTTCCTCTCAAGCAGTCAGAAGCAGGGCAGGCCCAGGAGATCACAGTGGCAAAGTATTTTCAGGAAAAACACGTGAAACAACTCCAGTAAGTTTTACACATTTCTAAACTCTTAACGTCAAACAATTACATGTACATAATTTTGTTGGGTGGGTTAAATTATTGACCAGGCATGTTAATGCCTGCTGTCCAGGTGGCTGAAAATTTTTTTGAGTTTTTTTTTTAATTAATAATATCGATACAAAAAAATCAAATGAGGCCTGAAACCACTGTTAAAATTGAAGGGTATAGTTTCAGGCTGCATTTGTTATTTTTAAAATGCTACTGAAGGAAAATATCCAAAGATTTTTTTTTAAATGTTTATGGATGGAGAGGCTTAGAAGGTCCATAATCAAGCAAAGACAAAAACAAGGTTCAATTATCCAGCTTTCTACTGCAAGACAGTAATGTGTGCAAATGTCAAAGCATAACTATAGTCAATAAAGGAGTAGTTAATATGGCATAAATGTAAAAGCGGTGGCAATCCTGAGTGGGCAAGAGAAGTGTAACCCAATCTACATCTTGCCCCCTTGGGCAGGCCTTCTGACAGAGTGCAATAAAAACAGAAATTAAGTGAAATTTTCCGGGGCTGATTATGGGATAAGAACAGGCTATTTTGCGCTAGATTAAGCAAATTATGTGATTTTTTCCTGAGCTTTTTAAAGCTTGTTTTATTAGGTTTCTGAAGAGGAAACCCACTTTTGGGCAGACAATTTGAACTCAAAGGAACAATAATTAAACATCTCTGCGTAAAATGTACATCTAAATTGGGATAAGAAAGACTTAAGGTGCTTGTCTACCACAGACTTCTGAAGATGATCAATCACAACATTGCATGACGTACAAAACATCAGACTGTCATTCACCTGGAAGGGGTATTTTTCTGGCTCTGTCTTTGGCAGTTAAATTTCACAGAAGGTGTGATTTTGTCTTTCAGTCAAAGAAACAGTGGGCACTTTCACTACAAACTTATCCACGAAGGACATTTGTTTTGTACGGTTTGCAGTTGAAATAAACAACACTTGGATCATGTGTTGTTGAAATATACCGCCAATTCTGATTGGTCCAAGCAAAACAAGGGATTGTTTGTGTTACACCAATATTACACAAATAGGCAATTCTATGAGAATGAAAACTTAAGTACCAGTCCCCAGACGGCCATAAAACACCTTGGACTTTGGTGATTTATGAAGTCACTTGCTGTAGGAGGTCTTTGTGGCTTAATTTTCAAAGGCAAACCATCTTGAAATGCTGTGCAGATGCAGGATTTTTCCAGATAAAACATAAACTAAGGGTTTATTTTGTTAAAATTGTGTGATTTTTCATTAATAATTTATGAAATCGCATAATTATGCGATTTTTGATAAATTGTGCGATCAGATGCGATTTGAGGTGGATTGTTCAAAATCGCACCATCACATAATATCAGAAGGCCTGCTTAAGTAGCCAATCACAGTACAGTTTTGGGCTTATTTTGGCCATTTGGGGAGCGAGCCATGAGTTTTATAAGTGTGCATGTATTTTTAAAATTTAGTTTTATTAGTGACTGAATGTAACATTGATTTCTCTTCCAGTGGTAGTCCCTCATTTCCCATTTATAACAACATTTGACTAAATATATAAATACAGGAATGGACATCAGTTTCTTAATATAAAGTCGCAAGTTACTCTCAAGCCAACTGCTGACCTCTATTCAAGCAATATACCCAGACGGGCATCAACTTCATGAGGCAGTAATCTGAAGAATTAACATGCCTTTAGTTAATAGAAGACAACGCAAGGATGTCAACTCAAGTGAAAGACCCCTCCCCAATTTTCTCCGTCCTTTAACTGACTGGACCTTTTTTGCATGTGCTGAAGCACTTCTTCAGAAAGATAGTTGGAAAGTAATTGCGTATTCTTATTGCCAAGCCAAGGATGCAAGATGAGCTGACTGATAGAATTTCAAGATTCCTGCAGGAGGAAATTGATTTATTAAAGTGTACCAAATCACTGGCTTGGGTATACACATACTTGCAGAAAATGCTCTTGTGGTAGCATGCTGTTGGAAAGCTCCCAGGCACTAAACAGCTTACAACAAATGGCTCCTTTAGGAGCCACCAATACTAGAAAAGTCAATGGCCTAACAGTACTAGTGTTGCACTGAGCTCTGTCCACTTAGTGGTTTGTATACGACAAAAACTAAACATTCAAATAAAAATGAGCTACAACCTCCCTTCTTACTCTAAAATCAAGCAAAATCATTCAATTTTATTTGCAGCATATTTTGGGGTCCTTAATGAAGCTAGTGTTTATCGGAAATCAAATGTGGCAAAATAGTAATTGAAATAATTACAGTCACAATCAGTGCACTGCAAATAACCTTTGATTTTTGTAAGGACACTGATCTTAAGATACATAATTGTTGTTGCTTAAAGGAAGCTTAATTAGAGTTTCACTCCCCCTTTCCTTTCTTATGCAATTTTGGGTCTGTACTTATTAAATTTAGAATTCTCTCTCTTTTTGGCATCTTCACTATTTAGGGGTGCATAGGGCATCGACCATGACTCTCCACCAAACTAAATTTAGCATGGTTCTCCTGGCCTCATAAGCTAATTAGACAGGTTATTTGTTTCCAGGTCATCCAAATGTGATTGCATTTAGCTCAGTGTGCTTTATTTTTGTATGTGTGTAGATTCCCCCACCTGCCTTGTCTTCAGGTCGGACAGGAACAGAAACACACCTACCTACCTTTAGAAGTTTGTAACCTTGTTGCTGGACAGCGCTGCATCAAGAAGTTGTCTGACATGCAGACGTCCAAGATGATCAGAGCTACTGCAAAGAAAGCTCCTGATAGAGAACAGGAAATTGTAAATCTGGTAAGGGGTGATACAAAACTTGTGTTATTTTGAAGCATTATTTTTACACTCATGAAAAGTAAACAAACTACTGTAGCAAAACATAACAGCAAAGAAAAATAACAGGCAGTCAAAAACTGCCTGTGGATGCCGGTAGTTTTGTAGGGAGATTGAAGGAATTTATTAAAACATTGTAAGTGCAAGATAACCTAAAAGAGCAGTACACCTTTGACAGCAGATAGGAGATAATAAATTTATGCAAGAGACAACAAGTTTTGGCATTATACCTTTAAGGCAAAATGCCCCTGTCCCCCCCAGCCTCCTCCCCAACAGCATATAGAAGAGATAGGAAAGGTTTTAGAATACAAGTAAATTTTCTGCATGTAAAAGTCCAAGGGGGTCATGTCGGGGGCGGTTTGTCTAGGGGCGTAAAGACTGGTATTCAAAGAGTTGTAAAAGAAGAATAAGACTACCATGTGCCAAGGAAACAACATTTTTATTGATGAACTCAAATAGAG